TAATAATAATAATAATAATAATAACAACAACAACAATCATCATTATCATCATCCATCTTAAGAAGGTACTTGGTTGATATCTAGGATACTGGCAGCAACCCATATCAACCATTAGCACCAGTCAATGGTATTTGTGATGCGTTTTTGAATGTTTAGTTGACTAAGTTTCATGTTGGGTGAATAAAAATTAACAACAACAACAATAACCTTTATTGTCATTGTGCATATATACAACTGATTTAGCCTCTACGTACTAGTGCAATCCATAACAAAAATACAAGACAACATGAATAATATAGGAAACGGTCCTTATACAAGTAATTAGGGAAAAACCAGTCATATGTTTCCATAAATCAGTGCAGGGAACAGATTTGGCTTTATTCACCACAATGCAAATCTCACATTTAAATGAGATAGTCTACCAAGAAGATTGCAATCAAGTCCTCTCGCTTTGGTGCTGGTACTTCGTTGTAGTTTGGGGTAGATTAAGCTGTCCATCTTGCATTGCTTAAAAGAACCCCTACTTCTATTTGAGATCTGAATTCAGATCTTGACATGAAAATGCAAATCTCTCATTAACTCAGAGACTTGGATGAGATGAGCAAATGATAAAAGCAATATTGCAATACAGGCTCCACAACGTATACTGTATGTATTGTCATATCACATGCATATATGTTATGAATCATGATAACATTATACTGCTTTGACCATTTTGACGAAAGCCTTCAATACATATGTGGACTGTGATTGGAACTCAATAAATGGCTTTAATTTTATCACTTTAAAAAAATTTGGAGGGCTGCTAGTCCCTTATTAGAGAATAAACCCTGTCAAATTTTTCATAAGAAAAAGTTGTCGTAGTTTCTGTTATAGGCAACAAGCATGTTTATTTACTTTATTCCAAATTTCAGAGGAATTATGTATTTCCTTCCTCTTTCATTTACTGATTGCTTGCCAATTTGAATAAAAATAGCAAACATGATTGATATTTTTCCATGCAAGAAACATAGTTCAAGTGCCAAGAGTAGGGGGAACGATTAAAGCAGTACAAGACATGTTTGTTCTCTGTTCATTTGGGACCAAACTCACAGAGGGCACCAAAGGGTAGGAATAAATGATTGATGAACAGCAAACAATTGCATAACTTGAGAATCCAGTGTTCAACAAGTATGTTGTGTTTCATCCACCAAACTCCCACATATTCAACACACACGTACCCACACACACCATTTTGTAATCCTGGGAGGCAACTTCCAATAGGCACTAGGATTGGCTCTGATTTATGGCATCAATATCTTTGTTACAAAACATTGTTGATCAAGAACAGTTGATTTCAATAAACAATGCAAATAGAGACAGAGTTCCAAAGCCATCAGATATATTTCTCCACATGAGAAATGAAAAAGGAAATGTTTCAATCCCTTTTTCCCTTATCCCGAAGAAATATATGCTTCTATAGACGTAGTCAGGGGAGGCTCAGTGGCTAAGACGCTGAGCTTGTCAATCAGAAAGGTCGGCAGTTCGAATCCCTAGTGCTGCATAACGGGGTGAGCTCCCTAGCAATTTGAAAGCAGATAAAAATGCAAGTAGAAAAATAGAGACCACTTTGGTGGGAAGGTAATAGCATTCCATGTGCCTTCAGCGTTTAGTCATGCCAGCCACATAACCACAGAGATGTCTTGGGACAGCGCTGGCTCTTTGGCTTTGAAATGGAGATGAGCACTGCCTTCTAGAGTCAGGAACGACTAGCACATATGTACAAGGGGAACCTTTACCTTTATAGACACAGTCTTAGCCACTGAGCCTCCCCTGACTACGTCTATAGAAGCATATATTTCTTCGGGATAAGGGAAAAAGGGATTGAAACATTTCCTTTTTCATTTCTCATGTGGAGAAATATATCTGATTGCTTTGGAACTCTGTCTCTATTTGCATTGTTTATTTAAATCAACTGTTCTTG